AAACAGGTTTAAAACCCAGGGGTGGAAAACCGTTTGGTAAAAACCAAAACAGGTTAAAAACCCAGGGGTGTTGATTAACTTAGGGTAAAAAAACCAACAAAAGCCAAAAGGTTAGAAACCCAAGGCTGACTAGACTCGGGGTATAAAACCATTAGCGAAAGCCAAATAGGTTAGAAACCCAAAAGTGATCTTAGGGTATAAATCCATGGGCAGAAGCCAAATCGATTAGAAACTCAAAGAAATATCACTAGCCCTGCTAAGAAGTAAAATCTCAAAGCCAAAATCTAACGGTAAAAACTAACCGTATAGCATTGCCTAATAAACTTGATTACAGTTAACTACAACAAAATAGAATGGAGCTATGACAGCGAGCCCATAAAACGACAACCGACAACAACAAAAGGGTATCGACTGGACTCAGGGTACAAAACCATTGGCAAAAGCCAAGTAGTTGGAAACCCAAGAGTAAACCAAGAGACTTGACTACAGCCAACTACAACAAAAGGGTATGGGGGCTATGACAGTCAACCCATAAAAAGTGACAACTGACAACGACAAGTACTCTCAATGCTAAGAGGCTTGATAGTAGCGAACTACAACAAAAGAGAATGGGGGCTAGGAAAGTCAGCCTAATTAGACGACAATCAACAGCGACAAAAAGAGGTTTCCACAAAAATAGTCAACCCATGAACGATAAAATACTCTCAAACCAGAACTTTGACAATCTTCAACTTTGAGAGTGTGGGCTATGGTTATGGATGAGAAAATCCCAATTTTCAACAATTCAAATTCCCTTTATTTAAGGAATTCTTTTATGGCATGATATGATCCCTGTCTCTTATACACATCTATCTGTATAGATGGGGGATCTCTCTATACATAGAAAATCGTTTTATGGCATGATATGATCGCCTAGCCGTAGCCGCATATCAGCTGCGCTCAATATGCGGGATTTCTGTTGGATCTGATCTTTCGGGAAGCTTTTGGACCTAGCGAAAAGGACTTTCAGCCTTTGCGCAAGCAAGCAAAGTCGAAGCTTTGCCAGAAGCAAGACGAGGAAGCAGAGCTGTCGTATAAACGGTAGCTTCCCCCGCCCTACTTTGATTCAAAAGAAAGGCGAAAGGAGAAGATATCTTATGGTTGAGGAGAAGATATCTTATATTCAAAAGGAGAAGATATCATATATTAAAGAATGAGAAGATATCCTATATTAAAAAAGGAGAAGATATCCGGAAAGTATGCTCACAACACTCTACACTCTATACTCAACTACTTCGATTCTGCTTTCACCGGTTTTTAATGCTATTCTGTTTTGCAGGTTTCGTCGATCTCTTTGACGGAATCCCAAGAGGCCAAATTTCTACATCAACAAGACGAAATATTCTTCATTCTATGGGTCCTCCATGATACATATTGTATTATACATTGTTCGATAGACATGTCATGTTGAGAAGCCTACTTTAATTAAGTACATGAGGTCTCAATCGATAATAGTAGATCAGCAACATATGTATTGCTAGGTCACCAATTCTTGAAACGACACCTGTTCGATTTTCATGTCATTATAGAACACTTAAAAATGCCGCCCAATAATTAAATTTAAAGACAATTTTGCACTCCAAATCAAGGTACATACAACTGTGGGATGTGATTTGAGAAGGTCAAATCTGACTTTAAAAAATTTGATTTGGTTTAGAGAACCTTGAGAAGTTGGTTGACCCCACAGATGTTTTGCAAAATTGTTTGGAAGTTTTTTTTTTCTTTTTTTCCCCTTTTTGTGGAATATAAAGTCTTTTTAACCTTAAAAAAAGGTTAAATGAATTGAAACTTTTATTTTCATAGTATTTCTTTTACATGTTTTGAAGATTCTAATGCCACATTTGACTCTAGTTTCAATAAATTTGGTTTTATGAAATTGAAAGTTTTGAAATTTTGGATGGGTGTAATATGTGTTTAAAATTATAAAATTATATCGGATGTGTAATATATATATATATATATATATATATATATATATATATATATATATATATTTGATTCGTAGGTTTATTATCAATAAAAGTTAGTATATATCTACAACTCTAGAGTATATATAAAATAGCTAACATAAGTTTAGATGAGTGGTAATTGGAGAAACCGTAAAAAAAAAAATCAGATGAGGTAATTTGTTTCTTCAATTTTTTTGTTCATTTATTTTTTTAGTTTTTAAATTAAATAATTTTTAAACAAGTTAAAAATAAAATGGTGCAAGGGAAGAAAAAAAAATTATATTTTCATTTTTCCTTTATATTTCCTATAATATTTCCTTTATATCCAAATTTAGGTAAACATTTTAGTTTTTCAATAAATTTATCTGATAGTGTGAAAAATTAAATTTTCTAATTATTTTTATTTAAAAGATGTAATATCATATTTATCCTTAAAAATAGAAAAATCTTTTTATTTTTCAATCTAAAAAATGGCTTAAGGAAAAACTTGGAGTTCTCTCTTTTGGCCCTAATTTATTATTTATCTTATATATATATATATATATATATATATATATTATTGAATAATTTTTAAATATTATTGCGATGATTAGCAATAATGGCTCTAGAACTTTTTTACATTATTTTCACACTCATTTAACTTAGGCACTAATAGCTTCAAAACTATACCCACACGCTATTTTACACTAATGGCTTTAAACTTACTTTCTCACACCCATTTATAAGTGTTATAAATATATATATCTTTAAATCTAACTACACTAGACATTCTAACATCTTTACATTTTGATCGAAGATATGTCTTAACCAGTTGACGTATGCTTAAATTGATAATATAAAAAGAAAATTTTTTCATAAATCATTCATTGTGGTTGTTACAATTGCACTCTCTTGAACTTTAATGGTAATTAAAATTAGACCTAAAACTTACAACTACGTAAGTGAAGAAAACAATATATATATATATATATCGTTGAGAGAGAAATTGAAAAGAAGAGATTTGATTATGATGAAGACTTGGTATTCAAAGTAAGAAACCATTTCATTATTATTATTAATTATTATTCGACGAAAGAAGTCATTCCATTAGGTAGGAAAGATAGACTAATATAGTAGACTCACTTATATGACATTGTAAAAAGAAGCTTTTTTTGGGATATAAGCAAGATTTTAAATATTGATATCGATGGAAATGTCGATAAAAAATATTGATGTCTATGAATATTTCTAAAAAAGTTATAAAAATAAAAAACTTAGAAATTTTTTTTTTTTAAATTAACAAGTAATTGTCTCACAATTCTAAACAAGTTAAAAATATTAATATTAATATTGTGTTTATATTAGGAAAATTTTGTTGATATTTTTCATATTTTGTCGTTTTTTTAATATTATGGAAATATCGATTTATCCCTTACGTCGATGTCAAAGCCATGGATACATGAATATGTCAATGAACATGTCGACATGCCGACGGATATTAATACTACGATCTTAAGCAAGATTAAAATCTTTACTTGAAACTACTATAATAACCTCCTCCCAATAGGGTCCAATCTGATTGAAAGGGACATTGAGGTTGTGGAGGTAGGCCATGGCACATGCATTAATTACAATTTTGCCTTACCTAAGGACAATCCACAATAGTGGTTGAATTTCTTAGACCTAATGCTTCAGTGAACTTGACACATGCACATCGTTTTCATTTGTAGAATTAGAAAGAAGACGTCTACATAAAACTACATATGGAAAGTTAATGTATTCTGCCACGTGTTGGACGTTGGACATCCAGGGAACACGTTGAACTAGCGCCACCAGATTGTCGAAGGGTGCAAATCGACTCGACTTTTTGCCAGGCAGTTTCCATCATAAGCGCACCATCGTCAAGCTAGTCCTTGCCAAGATGGAAGGCTAGAATCTCGGCCCCCTATCGAACTAACTCGTCTATGACCACCTCTAAAAAGGCAGAGTATCTTATTACTCTGTTGATATACTACTTACTATCTAACTTTATTACTGACTTAGGCAAAGAAGTGTTCACCTATCACAAGGGATAAGTCGGTGGTTCAGTTTGTACAGCCCAAATCCGTGAACGAATACCTACTATTAAAATTTTCAATTGGCCCCTCTTATTTTATCCACATCAGCTCCTCCCTTGCTTATGTTTAGTCCAATTAACGTGCCTCGTGAGCATTAAATAACAACTGAATTCAAATTATATAAGGCGTATTTGGGAATGATGGTAGAATGAGTAATTTAAAAAAATAGAGAAATTTAAATATAATTGATTTTTCAATATTATCATCTACGTGATACCGAAATGATTTTGACAATAGTAAAAGTATTTTTCGTATGGGGTGGATGGAAATTCAAATTAAAATTTTTGTATTTCATAAATTTAGCACACAATCCCTTGGGTGCAAATTAAAAATCAGCCATTCGCTCTTCTTATCTTCATCATTTATTAGACAAAGTTGAAAGATTTGACCCTCCAATGTCGGCCCCACACTGAAGATGGCGAATTGGGACCCATGGCTATGGCCATGGCCGCACCATCACATTCCGCCGCTGGACCACGGCCACCCTTTGTTATCATGTCCTCTCCTTCCTCTACATCCTTTTCTTCATTCCTTCATGTGACCGCCACATGGCTCCACTTTCCCGCATTCAATTTTCTACCACTTCCCTTCAGCTGATGTTCAGGTGAGATGGAAGAGAATTCCTATACGTTTCGTCCTTCAAAATTACTCTATAACTTGCATTGATCTTTAACGATTATTGGACATTGGGTTTGATTTTGGGGGTTGCCCTTTTGATTGATTAAGAAACGGATTTCTGTATTTGACCAGATTAGGGTTTTTGGTCTGTATGGGATTGAGAAGGAAATTGAATTGTTTTGACCCTAGGAAAACAATAACCCCAGAGACAATGAATTTATAAACCAATTCAACTGTATTGCTTAATAAAACAGAATTTAGATGGTTGTTAGTTCTCGAGCAGGATATGTCCTTGGAATAGCAATGGAGTGTGCAAAGAAGTGGTGTACAATAGTTAGATTCGTGGGTTAAAGTTGCTATCAGTATTTTAAAACTAAAAGTGAGTCCAATCAAGTAATCCAACTTCTTGGGCAATTTGGGAATGAAGCTGTCATGTCAAAGAAAAAATTGGATGATATAGCCCTATAAAATAATGTAGAATTCCACCAATGTTGCAAAGACCAAACACTTCCAAAAAGTCATGGAGAGGAAGCAAAAAGAGAGAAAAGGCCATTTGGTGCTTGTTCCTTGCCCTCTACCAAGCCACATGTCTCCTATGCTTCACTTGGCCAAACTTCTTCATGCTCAAGGTTTCTCTATTACCATAATTCACACAGCAGTTAACTCTCCAAACCAATCTCATTACCCTGAGTTCTCATTTGAATCCGTTGGTGGTGCCCTGTTGGAGAGCTGTAGTGCCTCTGAAGGGGATGTTATGCCTTTTCTTTCAGAACTAAACTTGAAGTGTGAAATCCCATTCCATGACTGCTTGGTAAAAATGCAAATGTGCAGTCAATACAATCCAATCTCCTGTATAATATATGACGCTGTCATGTATTTTTCTGCAGCAGTTGCTGATCATTTGCTGATTTTTAGAATTGTTTTACGGACAAGTAGTGCCGCAAACTACATCGGGCTATCAATTCTTGATGAGAATGACTGTCTTCCAATCCAAGGTGGGAGCAAGTTCACTTGAATATATTTGCCTTTTTTTTTACATGAACTCTCACATGTATATTAGGATAAATAAGAACTTGTTTGTGTACTTCTGTGGAAAGATACTCAAATCTTACTTCATTTCAGGACGCAGAATGGAAGAACCGGTAGCTGCGTTTCCCTTACTGAGATTTAAGGACATGCCATCGTTCCGCACATGCAAACAAACAAGGGATGTTTTAACCTGCATTTACAATGGAACGAGAACTGCTTCAGCTATCATCTGGAACTCCCTTTGGTGTCTTGAAGATGCCTTGTTCGAGAAAATTGAAGATGACACTTTGGTTCCAATCTTTCCTGTAGGACCTCTTCAAAAGCACAGTGGCAGCTTCTCCACCAGTTCTTTAAGTGAAGAGCAGAGTTGCATTGCCTGGTTAGACAAACAAGCTTCAAGTTCTGTGGTCTATGTGAGCACTGGTAGTGTAGTTACTATGTCCGAGGATGAACTGTTAGAGATGGCTTGGGGGCTAGCCAAGAGTAGCCAACCCTTCCTGTGGGTGGTTAGGGCTTGTCTAGTCAATGGCTCAGGTGGGGTAGAGCAGTTACCAAAAGAATTCCATGAGACTACCCGAAACCGAGGCTGGATTGCTAGTTGGCTGCCGCAGCAAAAAATTTTGGCACATAGATCAATTGGATGCTTTTTGACACACAATGGTTGGAACTCAACGATTGAGAGTATATCAGAAGGCGTCCCGATGCTTTGTTGGCCCCGAGTCGGGGATCAGAGGGTGAATGCAAGATTTGTAAGCCATGTTTGGAGGGTTGGCTTACAATTGGAGGACAGATTGTCGAGAGAAGACGTCGAAAGGGCCATTCAAACTCTCTTTGCCGACGAAGAGGGTATCAAAATCCAAAAGCAAGCCAAGGAGCTAAAGAAGAAGGTTGAACTTTCCCTGAGACAGGGGGGGCCTTCAAGTGATTTCTTAAGCAGATTAGTTAATTACATTAGACTCCAAGGGGCAATGATAAGGTTATCAAATGCTTGATTATCCATTTGCTTAGCCATCCATATCCCTATTTCTTCTAGAATATCTACTTTTCCTTTTCCCATTTCTCTTGTTTTCAGAATTTTCTTTTTCCTTTTCTTTTAAGCCAGACGTGTGTGGATTGATATTCCTATAATAATGTATGTTCTGAGTTCTGCCATGTAATACACATGTTGAAATCATACGTGAAAGCTGCTGTACTAGTACTGCCCACTCTTAACCTTTTTCATTAGATGCTAAACAACCACTCATTGGTTCAGCTTTTTATCTGTTCTTAGAGCCATTTTTCCCGAAACAACCTTGAATTCCTTCAGGAACAGTAAAGCACGTGGAGAAAATTGGGACAGACACTCAGTGGATGCTTCCCCACAGCAAATTGATGTAGACAACACAGACTGGCCTATTGCTTTCTGTTGGTCACTGGTATCATTTCTCTCTCTCTTTGGTTTTTTTTTTTTAAAAAAAAAATCCATTACCTTTGGTTTCCTACTTGATTCTGTAAATTTTCTTTATTGGACTATGCCATGTTTTACTGGTGTTGGTATTGGTAAAGGAATCTGTTCTATTCTGTATGACTGTATCTGTTTTGCTTGGTTTCAATGGATAAGGGAAGATTTCACTGGTTGCAGCTGATGAATGATTTATTGAGTGTTTGTGTTTACTTAGTCTTGTTGAATGATTAGCCATTAGGTGCTTCCTAGTTCCTTCCAAATTTATTGTATATGAAGTAGGGAAGGAAAGGTCTCCAAACTGATCTCGAAGCTAATGTCGGGTTTTTTGTATCTGTTTCTTGTTTCTTCTTTTTGTTAAAATAGGTTGGTTGTTAACAACCGTTTTGTTTTTCCATTGTCCAGTCTTTTTGAAAACATATCCATTTGTAGATTTTTAAAATGAAATACTGGACGCATCGTTTGATAACTATTTTGTTCTTAGTTTTCTGGTTTTAGAATTAAGCTTATAAACGCTACTTTCATCCATGTGTTTCTTTGTTTTGTTATCAACCTTTTTGAAACGTTTTCAAAATCTAAGCCAAATTTTGAAAATTAAAAAAAGTAGAGTCTATTTGATAATCATTTTGGGCCCGTTTGATAACCATTTTTGTTTTTGGTTTTTAGTTTTTCTTATTTTTGGTTTTTGGTTTTTCTTGCTTTTAGCTTTTAGTTTTTGGTTTTCTGTTTTTAAAAAACAAAAATTATATGTTTGATAACTATTTTTTGTTTTTTTAGACAGAAACCTAACCTAGTTTTTTGTTTTTTAAAAATTAGAAAACTGAAAATACATATTAGAGAAATAAAATTCTATGTAAAGTAGAGATGACAATAATGTGGGTGCGAGTGAGGATATTCTCCCCAATTCTCGTGTTGGTGAAAGTTTTTAGTTTCCGTTCCCACCAAAGAACATTCTTCGGTCCGAGAGATCTTTTCGAGAAAAATTATCGGTTTTATAATTGTTTTTAATTAATTTTAGAATTTAAGTATAAAAAAAGTGTAATAAATATATATTAATTATTTAAAAAATGGAATCGGGGATGGGGACGAGATTGGGACATGGATTTCCTATTTTTGAGACTTTGAGAGTGTAGAAATTTTTGTCATCCCCTAATGTATGAGATATCAAAATATGATGTAAATAAACTTTTTGAAGATAAATTTTAGAGAGATAAATAAAAATATTTAAAAAAATAGTGAAATAAAAGTTAAATGACAAAAAGAGAAAAATTTTAGAGAAAAAAAAAGTAAAATCGAGAGAAAAAGATATGTTAAAAGAAAAAAAAAATTATAAAGAAAGAGAAAAATTATAGAACAAAATAAATTTAGAGATAAAAACAAGGTTCAAAATATAATTTTTAGAGAGACAAAAATTAGGGAAAATATTAAATTTTTAGAGAAAGAAATGAAACTGATTTATTAGAAAAAAATAAAAAATAGAAAAATTTGGAGAGAGATAAATAATAATAAATATTCAAAATATGAAAATTTTAAAAGAGAGAAAAATAAATTTTGTAGAGAGAAATTTAGAAAGAAAAAAATTTTAGAATGAGAAATAAATTTTTAGAGATAAATACGAGAAAAAAGAAAACAGTTGAATATTAAAGAAAAAATCAGATTTTGAGAAACAGACATATGTCTTGGAAACTACGTTTTTTAAATTTACATAAAATTTCAAAATGGATTTTGGAAAACAAAAAAACAGAAATCTGAGTGGATTATCAAACAATCCTATTTATAGAAAAATTAAAAATAAAAAATAAAAAATAAAAAGCGAAATGATTATTATACGAGTCCTTTATTTTTTGTTGCTGTTTTTAAAAGTAAGCGTACATTTCTTTCTTTTGTTAGCTATTTTTTTAATGTTTTTATAATTTAAGTCAAAATTTGAAAACTAAATGGATACATCCAAATTTTCGTTTTTATTTTTTTATTTTTTTATGAATTCAAATTGGTTTTTAAGAAAGGTAAAAATATACCTATAGAAATTGAAAGGTAATTCTCAAAATAGAAAACTAAATACGGAATGGTTATCCACCCATCCTAGTCGTAATTTTTTAAAACTTATTTTTGTTTTTTAAATTTTGACCCAATATTTAAATTTATTTTAGTGGTAATTGGCATATATTTCCGTTAATCATGAGTTCGATCCTCATCTTCTCATGTTGTACTAAAAAAATAATAAATGTATTTTTAATAATTGTGAAATAATATACCAAATGAATTAAAAAATAAGTGTAGTTTTTTAAAATAGAAAATTAAAAAGGAAATGATTATTAAATGATAGTTGTTTTGTTTGTAGTTTTGAAAAAAAAAGGATGATTCTTTAGATTTTCTTCCAAAGAATAAAAAAAATACAAAAACAAAAAACTGACAATGTTTGTAGTTTTGCAAAACAAGGATGATTCTTTAGATTCTTCTTCCAAAGAATAAAAAATAAAAAATAAAAAACAACAACAAAGAAAGATGTGAAAATTTGATTTTTATAATAATTTTTAAAAGTGAGACTATATTTTTGGTTAAAAAAATAAAATATAATTCGTTGCTTATGAAAAACAACAACAAAGAAAGATGTGAAAGTTTGATTTTGATAAAATAATTTTTAAAAAATAAGACTATAATTTACTATTTGGTGTAAAAAACAAAATACAATTTCATGTAATTTGTTAAAGTAACGATTTAATTCATAAACTTTACTTTATAATGATTTAATTCGTGTATATTTAAATTTGTAACAATTTAGTCTCTAAATTTTTTTCTTTCTTCTGTTTAGATGGAACTCTCATTTCATCCATCTTGAATGAGGTTCTAATTTACTTTCTTTCCTTGTTTATGGTATCCGCTTCCGTTGGTAATGCCTGAAAAGGTCACGAAGGATTTCTTATGGAAAGAGATAGATGAAGGGAAGAGTTCTCACTTAGTTAAGCTATGGGAGGTTTAGGCATTGGTAATATGAGGGTATAAAATGATGTCTCATTGGCTAAGTACTTATGGTATTTTCCCTCGAGAGTCCAACACTTTACTACGTAAAGTTATTGTGAGCAAGTACGGTCTTTGTCCCTTTCGGTAGGAGTTGAAAGGTACTCCCAAAAATCCGTAGAAAGCTATTTTTCATAGGTTCACTTTGTTCTCTCAGTTTGTCTTTTGTTCTGTGGAGATGGATTGGATAAGTACTTTTGAGAGATGGTACGTCATTGGGGATAGACCCACTGGATCAAATATTCAAAATTTTTATGTTATATTTATTTTTTGATATTTGCTCTAAATTGTATAGGTAAAAAATTATAAAATTATGCTTTTATTTACATTTTGGAGAAAACCGGAAATATTAACAATAAACAAGAAACTTGGGCCATTTGATTCATATTTCTTGTTTATTGTTTCTAGATTTATTAAGAACCTTAGACATTAGACAACTATTTATATTTTTTTATTCTCATTTTTTTTAGAAACGCTCTCAAAATTGTATACAAATTTTAGAAAAAAAAATGCAAGTCTCTTATTTTATGTTCCCATTTTCAACACAATTAAGTTTCTTTTTTTTTTCAATAAAAAGTGAAGAACAATAAATACTTACAAAATGCAATTATATTTTTCTTTATTAAATGACAAAACAAAAAACAAAAAACGAAAAACATTACCAAATGGACCATTGACTTTATTGTTTCCAAAATTTCTACACAAGGTTGAAAACATTTCTTAGTAAGAAACGAGATACAGTACCAATTAATAAACACTTACATTTCTAAAAAAAAATTAGAAACAAGAATATTACCATGTTATTTTTACACGACAATCCAAGAGCTTAGTTTCACCTGCGACCCTAATTCAATGGAAACCTACAAACCATCACATGTTGAATCATAAATGCTTTCATTTCAGTGAAATCCCATCAATTGTTTCTATATAGTTCCTTCCTACAAACACCACATATTGTATCATAAATGCTACTTTTCAGTGAAGTCTTATCACTGTCTCTTCCAGTATTGAGTTGGACTTCACATATTCTTTCATTGGAAGTAAAAAAAAAAAAAAACATATTCACACCAATGGTAACATTTCTTGTCATTAATTTCTATGAAATATAGTTGTAGTTATAAAATAGCAAAGAGTTAATTTACTCGCTTTCAGCCTCGAGAGAATCAATAGATACCTTAATATGCTTATGTTTGTTAAAAATAACTAAATATATCTAGAAGCCTATTGAAGTATGTAGACAAAATTTTAATCTCTAAATTTATCTGGAAGAGGGTAAATAAATACGTAAAAAAAACTGTAGAAATATCTTAGCTTCTCCTTAGGTCCAAAGATTCTATATCCAGAACATGTGAGATCCAAGAAGAGGATCCTAGCCATGACTATATTTTAAAGGTGATGTTTGAAAAGATATATTACCATTAAGTATTTCAAGTTATTTATTTTCCAACGTATTCATGGTAGTCTAACCGATTACATTAACACATATATGTTAATAGTTTCCTCGGGGTTACTTTGTTATAAATTGTCTCCACTTACTGAGCTTGTCAGCTCACTCTTTTATCCTTATTTTTTTCTTTCTAGGTAGCACTTGAGTCTCCAACGAGCTAATTGGGATCAAGATCTGCCACCAACCTCGTCTAGATTGCATAACATTTTGCATGTAAACATCATAATGTGCTTTGTCTATGTAACTAGTATGGCTAACATTCTTCCTACAACGTACATTGCTTTAAAATTGTGTTTATGTGCATGAATAGTTTCTAAACTAGTGTGC